ATATATATATAATTATAACCCTCCTATACTAGAAACTAAGAAAAGTTGTTTCTAAACTAGTAAGTCTTAATGTCTGGAAGGGGATGTTGTTATACAGATCTAGGTCTTATATTGATATAGTTATATAGATCTTATTTTTGTATAGTGTATGTCTTTTGTTTTCTAATTTCTATTTTTGTTTTCTGTCTTCACGTTTGGTTTTCCAGACAGGATTTAAGGCTTAAATAGAGTATTCATAATAAGAAAAATATTGCAAGCATTCTGAATAACATACCCCATACCAAGAATGGTATTATTATATTATCATTGCAGTATCAAAAAGCCAAATTTTCTTATCATGACCCTTTTTCTCCAACACTTTTTTTTTCAAAATAATTAAATAATTAAATTGTGTCTTTTAAAAAGGTTCTATTTAATAGTACTATACAAGTAAAGTCTGTTGGGGTTTTTTTTTTTAGGACCACCTACGCTCCTGAATGTGACTCCAAGTACTGATATTCTTATTATTGAAAATGGAACAGCTGTTACCTTTCAGGTTGAAGTGTTAGATAAAGAAGGAAATGTAACATGTCAGCCAAAGCTGATTGTGCAGTGTAAGGTAAGTTCAGAAATAACATACTTATGTTTAGGAGTAATGCCTAAGGCCGCTCATAGATGTGTAAATATCTCCCAGAAAGTAACTGGGCAAAAGATATCGGCTCTTAATCTGACAAATTGGAACCTGCTGCGATTCTGAACAGTGACAACTGTGGCCATATGGTACATTGGTTGTCATCTGACGGATCTGACCGTTATTGTGCTGCTCTATGAATGCAGAAACACCTGATGATCATACTTAAAATCAGGGACATTTATCAAGTCATTTATATCCATTCTTAGTGGTTAACGTGGACACTTTAAAGGCAAGTTGTATTTGCTGCCACTCAGTCCTTGTTGAGCATTGTTAGCCAGTAGTTTGCTCTGTTGGTGATCAGTAATTCGTCAGTTAATCTATGTGACCTAGATTCTGCTGATTTTTTTTTTTATTTGTCAAAGTAACTGGAAGCTGAACAGTCTTTATTCAACAAGTAAATCTGTTTACTGGAGAATTGAAGACCTTATTTACCACTTTATATTAAAGCATTATGATCTTGATTATAGTTTACAGGAGCTCCAAACCTCCCAACCTACATGCTGGATTGCAGCAATACAGGAAGTGGTGTTTTGACTGGGCCCTCTATCAAAGTTAAAAATGTAAAAAAGTTTCAGTTACTGAAAGCCAAAATTGAAGTATCTGTAAGTATTATCTGTGATGCATACAAAAAGGTATTGATGTACAGTACATGTAGATTGTAATCCTTACTGTAATGTGTCTGTATACTTTTTTTCCTGTTTATAGAGTTGCAAAGACATAAAAACAGTGGAAAAAACTATTAAACTTCAGCCGAGTAGCACTATTACAAAACTTCATATTCTAAGTGTTGATGGTGAAAAAGCAATTCAAATTAAACACAAGGATGAGATCAAGTGGCTTGTAGGTGATTCCATGCAGAATCTGATTTTTCAAATGTTCGATGAAGGAGATAGAGAAATTCTCATCACACCTGCAATTGCTGAAAAAATAAAGGTATAATCCTTTTATCTGTTTTATGTATTTACATCAACCTTATTTTGTTGTCATTGGGGACACATTTTTTTCAATAGATGAGACAAAAATTAAAGTTTTGTTTATATTAATCTGTAATTAAAATGTACGTTTCCCAAACAGTAGTAACGCATGCAGTTTGTTTGAGAGACTAAAATTATTTGTATAGAAAGCTGTTGGCCAAGTGACTGAGAACATCCTTTGTAGGAATTTACCAACGAAAATAAAGTTTTCTGAAAACTGCTTTAGTATATTTTGTTAAATGACAGGTTTCATGTTTGACTTCAAAGGTGGAATTAATCTTTTGGATTGCAACTTTAGGGAACCTACTCTATATGTTTGTGTTACTATTCACACAGTCAACCTGAAAATTAAAACAAAAATAGTTCTCACCTTTTTAGCTGTTTAGAGCAGAACTATACATAGGACACTATAGGCAAGATACTTCTGCCTTGAGTAGATGACAATGTGCAGATAAGTGTAGAGACTGAGCTTTAACCCTTTGTTAGGTCAGACAGTCTTGCACAACTAGTTAACTGATAATGGATATCTGCCAGCACAATACAGAAAGGGTTAATCATGGCAAACACATCGGCCCAGCTCCCTCCTAAACAGGGAGAATTGGAGTTTTCAGAAAAAAGCATCTGAAATGTAATTCCATTTGTTTTTTTTTTTTAATTATGCTATGTGAATGGGATCATGAAACAAATATAAAGTAGGTGTTGTCCCAGTTTGGCAGCAAATGTGGAAATGTACTTTAACTTTGTAATATAGTAATAATAATGTAGAGATCTTTGGCGAGTAGAAGAGGAGAGACACAGTGGAGGTGAATGTACGCAGCCAGGAGCGTGCAATTCGGACAGACACCGTGGGACACGAGTTGTCTGCCCTGGATCAGAGACCGGCACCAGTGCTGGAGGGATTGCTGAATACAAGTGGAAGGAATAAGATGATCGGCTCAAGAGGCATCATTTAAACCAAGTCCTTAAAGCAGCATAGGGGGAGGAAAAAAAAATTGTGACTTTAATGTCACTCTAACTCTAATTCCTGCAGTGCAGGAATAGCCCCAAGGGTTACAATTTTAAGCACACACTAATTATTTCCAGTTGTTAAAACCAGGCCTTTTAGTACAGAACTGTTTTGTAATTATACTCACTACACACCTTCTTCACTGTATAATGACATGTAAATTTGGCCAGCTCACCCATCACAAGATCTCCCAATTGTTTTGTTCCAGGATGACCAATCTACATCCTCCTGAAAGATGATATCCAAGGCTTTTTAAGAATCATAAAAACATCAGATAATGGTGAACAAAAGCTACATTTTTGTACAGACAACGTGTTTTGACCCATGGGTCTTCATTAAATCCCACTTTGACTCAGTGGGTCAAATTGCATTGTTTGTACAAGAACACAGTGCTTGCGCACTGGTATTTGATGTTTTTATGGATGAAATAAATTCTTTGATTTCATCTTTAACGCCAAGGATGTTTATCATCTTTGATAAATGAAGTTGTTGTTTAATGAAACTGAGCAAATGGGCTGTGGATATCAATAGAGCCCTTATGTTTAGTAATACAAATGCCTCCAGCCATTTGCTTGCTACAGTTCTCTCTAGTTGTACCTTAAGAACCTATTTATTTACAGTATATGTGTTACTTGGGTTTTTCTAAACACTTTAAAATCTTTTGTTCCATGACAGGTGAATTGGACACCAAATGTTTCTAAGGAGAAGTTAGTAAAAGGACTTTTACCTGATGTCGAGGTGTCAAATTCAGTTACTGATGTTCGGTACTGCCAGGTTACCTATCACGATGATAATGTTTCATTGGAGAGTGCTTTTACAGTCAAGTATGTATTGCGATTTAAAAAATATTGAGATCATCATGTGCAAAAGTTGTTTTTTTATCCAGAGCTGTGTGTAGTGTTGATGAGCCAACTTTGCTAAATATATTCAGAAGTTTCACTAAAGGGCGCACATCAATGTCTGATTAGAGGAAACATGGTCTTATAACCGCTATCAATTAAAAATAGTGTATTTTCTCCACCCATCACTCAGAGCTGCAAAATAATTTATGAAATGCTATAAGCTTTTTGAGTTTTAGTTCAGTTAGAATTTTATTCAGTCACCCTTGAACCTCTTTTTGGTTAAAAGAAAAAGCCTTTCAATAACCATGCTGACAGGAGGAGAGAGCAGGATGCTGATACTCAGCACTGTCCAATCAGCAGGCTGGGGCTGTGTTCTTGATTAAACTGTACTGGTAATTGAATTGATAATCGTTGTCCTTTGCCCCTGAAGTTGTAAGGCATACAGGCAGGACCAGTCTTCTATCAGCAAATTTCATATTAACCTAGTAAAGTAAAGCTAGACTTTTGTTGTGGGAAGAAAACTGTTCTCTCCAGTTTAATCACGTTTATTGCAAGGATTTTGTCTAGCTTCATTAGACATTCACATGTACCTTTATTGTGAACACTGCCGCATTCATTCCTCCTGCGTGCTAAGTAAGAGTGTTTGCCTGCTATAACATGATCTGTCCCAATGTTGTAATAAGAAAAAGACTTCTTGAAGAAACCGTAATGGGCTCAGGTATTCCCCAAGGTGCCGTGGTTGCATGGATCTACCATTTTGAAGGTCGTGGCAGTTTTTTTTTTACATTTTTAAGTAAGCTGGTTAGTTGCTAAGTGCTCGTTCAAATGTAAATTAAAAATCGAAGCATAATAAGACTTCATTCACACTATGCTGTAGGAATCCCAAATTTTCAATTCAAGGTAATGAGCAACAGCGGCTGCATCATAAAATAGATAATTGTCCCTGGACGCATCTACTGTGTCCAGGAACAGTAATGAGGTGACTTGTATAGTGTGAATAAAAACTTAGAGAATGTTGTACTGTTTGTAACTAAATAACAATATAGCCAGTCTTTTATAGTAAACTAATGAAACAAAAACTCATTTATGTTTATTCCTACATACATGCATTCGGTTGGCGTCTTTAACATGTCAGCAAAATACATGTTTGAGGTTGGAAATTAAAATCCATCTTCCTTTCTTGATCGTACATCACAGCACACAGGGAGTTAATTCTTATACCACTGGGTTAGGTAGCTACGTTCAGGTGATTGGACAGAAATCGTGGCAAATTAGTCAAAGCTGAAGGACAGCCCTGCATAACCCCTCCCACTGCCAGCATGCCTCAGCTTTTTGCTAGTGACCTTGAAGAATGGACACATTCTCTCAGACATGAGAGAAGTTTCCTATTTTATACTTTTTTTTTTTTTTTTAATATCCAATTTTTAGCAAGGCTCCTAATGCTGCTCCATGGCACTGTGACATCTATAGCATCTATCTAGCTTAGTTATCTCCTCTGCAGTGCCTTGACAAGACTGTACATGGACCTCATCAGGCATTTTTTCTCTCCTTTGTTACATAGTAACAAAAATGTATCTTATTTGTGTATCACTCGGCTATAGATCCTCAAATCGTCTCTGAATTGGTGCTTACACTGTCTTCCTTCTGGAGGGTGGTTACTTTTGTTCCCCATGGTCCCTGTGTGTGTTGTAAAGTAGCCACCGCTCCAAGATCACTCCCGGGATGGACTACAATCTCAATACAAATTACCATGCCGAGATATTTCAAATTGACCTATATGAGCCAAATCAGACCTTATTAGCTGCAATAGGGGTAGATAATTATGTTTATACAGGGCTTTGCAGTGAGATGTACTCCCAGGTAAGGAATTTTCTCCTTAGCCCAGATGTAAGGAAACAACGTTTGAAGTGTATTTCTCATATTGTGAGGAATCCCCAGATCCAGTATTTGTGACTTTTCCTCATTTACTCTGTAGTAGGATACAGAGTTAAACAGTTGTAATGTTGATTGTACTGCTGTCAGGGAAGATATTGGATCTGTTAAGCACCATAGCGACTTTTAACTCCCTGTGTCCTGTGATATATGAACAAGAAAACAGGACTTTTGTGTTGCTTATCAAATCTGTTTCTTGGAGTACATCACAGGACCCTCTGCTCTTCTTTGTTACGCTCTACCGCTTACTAAAAAACTGAGGCAGGCTGGGAGTGGGAGGTGTAAAGAAGGGCTGTCTTGCAACATCGATTGATGTGCCAGTGTTCTCTTACCTGAAGGCAGTTGCATAACCAAGTGGTCCAAGAATTAACTCTTGTGTCCTGTGATGTACTCCAAGAAACAGAGATGATAAATAAACTGAATATTTTTTTGCAATGTTTCAGGCCTCTTCCTGATGAACCAAAATATTTGAAATGCAAGTTAAATGGACCTAATGTTGTCCAAATGGGAGAAGAGCTGAAGGGTGAAGTTGGTGAGTGATAATTGTACATTATTGGCATTTAATGGTCATATAACATACAATACATACGTGTTTTTTCTGCTGGTAGTAACCGCTTACAGCGAATAGCAGTCAGCCTATCAATGGCAGCTGTGTGTGTATATACATTACATATATATATATATATATACACACACACACTCTGAAGAATTTTGAGACCTAGGGTTCTGCTGCTGCCTTGCCTCTAGGAGAAATGACAAACAAATTAAAAGCCCAAATAACCCCTGACACCTCATACAGTGGGGCAAAAAAGTATTTAGTCAGCCACCAATTGTGCAAGTTCTCCCACTTAAAAAGATGAGAGAGGCCTGTAATTGGCATCATAGATAGACCTCAACTATGAGAGACAAAATGAGAAAACAAATCCAGACAAATCACATTGGCTGATTTGGAACAAATTTATTTGCAGATTATGGTGGAAAATAAGCATTTGGTCACCTACAAACAAGCAAGAGTTCTGGCTCTCACAGACCTGTACCTTCTTCTTTAAGAGGCTCCTCTGTCCTGCACTCATTACCTGTATCAATGGCACCTGTTTGAACTTGTTATCAGTATAAAAGACACCTGTCCACAACCTCAAACAGTCACACTCCAAACTCCACTATGGTGAAGACCAAAGAGCTGTCGAAGGACACCAGAAACAAAATTGTAAACCTGCACCAGGCTGAATCTGCAATGTGCGGGAAACTGTGGGAGCAATAATTAGAAAATGGAAGACATAAAAGATACTGATAATCTCCCTCGATCTGGGGCTCCACGCAAGATCTCACCCCGTGGGGTCAAAATGATCACAAGAACGGTGAGCAAAAATCCGAGGATCACACGGGGGGACCTAGTGAATGACCTGCAGAGAGCTGGGACCAATGTAAAAAAGGCTACCGTCAGTAACACACTACGCCGCTAGGGACTCAGATCCTGCAGTGCCAGACGTGTCCCCCTGCTTAAGCCAGGAAATGTCCGGGCCCGTCTGAAGTTTGCTAGAGAGCATTTGGATGATCCAGAAGAGGATTGGGAGAATGTCATATGGTCAGATGAAACCAAAATAGAACTATTTGGTAGAAACACAACTCGTCGTGTTTGGAGGAGAGAGAATGCTGAGTTGCATCCAAAGAACACCATACCTACTGTGAAGCATGGGGGTGGCAACATCATGCTTTGGGGCTGTTTCTCTGCAAAGGGACCAGGACGACTGATCCGTGTACAGGACAGAATGAATGGGGCCATGTATCGTGAGATTTTGAGTGCAAACCTCCTTCCATCAGCAAGGGCATTGAAGATGAAACGTGGCTGGGTGTAATGGTCGTACCCCGGCGAGGTCCGGTGCCGCTGTCCGTCGCGGGCCTGTGCAGACACGTCGGGTCCTCTCCTCCTCGGGTCGCACACATCGGGTGACGGCTCCTGGTGTCAGTGCCCGGAATCGCGCCCCGTAGCTCCGCCCCATCCAGAGCGTGCGCTCGGCTTAAAGCCGCCGCTCGTTAGTTGATCGGCGTCCCACTATTGATGTAGGTGGACGCTGATCAACTCAGCACGCCACACGCTCCCTGGACCTCAGCAACCCGTGTCACTGCCGCAACACAGCGGGCTCCAACCCGTGTCCCTGCCTCAAGCCAGCTCCAGCCTGTGTCACTCTGCCACGAATTCCAGCAGAACCGCAAGTATCTGTAGAGAGAGCACAAGCTGGCTCCAGGTCTCATAGACCAGACTGGAATACTCTCAGCTGCTGTTAGTTATACAAAGGCTGTACTGTTCTTCTCATGCTAACTTATCAAACTGCAGTACTGCTCATCTCATGGTGATTTAACCAAACGCTGTATCGCTAGTTATACAAATGCTGTACTGCTCATCTCATACCGATTAGCCACTGCTATGTTTCTCATCTCATGCTAAACTTAACCATTGCAGAACTGCTCATCTCATGCTAAACTTAACCATTGCAGTACTGCTCATCTCATGCAACCAGACCATTGCCATACTGCTTACCTCCTACTGGTTATACCCACTGCTGTGATTAACCAGGTATAACTGTGTCTACTCGGCTCCCTTAACCCCAGCGGGGAAATGATGTGAAGCAGCTCCCTCTCAGCCTCCTGCAAAAACGGGCACGTGAGGGCAGCTGTTACTCTGATACCCGTACCCAGAGACCACAGTTGAGAACAGTTTGCACTTAGTGTTCTCAGGAGAATGGATGTCTTTTCTTCTACTTTTATTATTTTAGTTTATTTTGTTTCTTCATTAAGGATTCTTCTACCAAGAGCTCCTAGTTGATTTATACTGGATATTATTAAATCCTGGGAGTCTCTCTAGCTAGCTGACATTCATGCCGGATAAGTTAAATCTTAAATCTTTACAAGCCTAACTTAAGTGTAAGTGTGCTTGGAAATTTTTGGGTTTGTACTGTTTAAAACCCTTCCATGTGCACCTTACTTTAAAAGCTAGGCACTACACCTGTCACTCCTGGCAGAGAAAATACGGCTGTATAGTTCCTTTTACGGAACTATACAGAACAGCCATTTACTACTATACTGCTATGTGATGTATACAGGGCAGTTCAAAACGTATAGGATATGGGGATTGCATTCACATTCCATAGTTATTTTCTTCTTGTATGTATTAGTCAAGTTATGACAAAATGCTCAAATGGTAAGTGCCCTAAAGCTTCCTATCATGGCACACACTTTCCTGCCTCCAGCTCCATAGCATATTTGCTGTGCGGTGTGCTGCACAGTCTCTTCAAAATCCACCCAGTCAGGCCTGCTCCTGTGCTCTGTGATCTCTATTCATTGCAAAGGAAAGAATGCTCATCCCAGCAGCCTACAAACTTTTTAGATCACTTGAGAAAACTGATATTGTATAGAATTTTCACAGGTCTGAATAGGCAATTATGGTAGCAGGCAGCAATGTGCTAGTAGCTTTAGGCCTACTTGTATTCATAAACAGTACATGGTTGTGTTAAACCAGCATTACTTATAGTATCTAATTGTCATGTTTTCTTTTTTTATTTGTTTGTCTCTTGCAGAATTGATATTGACAGACCAGTTCAGTAATCGGATCCAAACGTTATCACCCATATGTCTCGATTCTCTAGGTATTTCTGGAACTAATCTTGATAAAAGTAATGTAAAGATGACTTTTCAGGTGTGTATTGTGCATATGTACCTCTATTTGCATGTGAGGGAATCTGCATGTAATTTCTGTATTGATGTTTTTATAGAAGGGCCACGCTGATATTCTTTTAATAGTCAATCTGCATGCTTTTTTAGTGTGTTACATATCTGTTATTTTTTCCTCTTATTTTTAATTCAGGAAAATACGCAGTCTATTCTTATCAAAGGGATAAAATTTTTCAATGGACCTCTAGAGGACAAGGAGCTTTGCTTCGCATGGAGATCTTTTTCAACTTATTTGCGACTGAGTTTGGTTGCCGGACCTCCCGCTAATGTTGCCCTAGTAGATTGGCCAGAGGTAAATGTATTTAGTGTCTACCAAAATATTCCTATTTACTGTACTTGGTGGTTGTTGTCTAACATGATTTCATTGATTAGTGTGTTACAGTTGTCTGTGGTAAAAAGACACAAAAGCCTCTGATTGTTCAGCTTTGTGATGAATGGGGAAACCAGGCTTTGGAGCCAAATGTTAAAATCACATTAGTGAAGGACAACCTGCTCAAGGTACTTTGTTTAAAGACAAAAATATTTATAAAAAACTTAATATAGATTTCTAAGACAAATGTAAATTTCTTAATCGTACATTAAGGGACACCTGAGGAATTATTCAGGTACATTGGGTTATGTTGCCGCCTTCAAAAGATTGGACTCTGGCAAACAAAGCTGAAAAGGACAGCCCCCTATAACCCTCCTACTCCCAGCATGCCTCATGTATTTGCTAGTGTTCTTGGTGAACTGATGCCTTCTCTCTTCTGAGAAAAAAAATTATATTCTTGCTTTTATCAAGATTACTTTTTCATCTGCCAAGTTTTTTCAGTAGTTGCAGACCCAAAAGGTATCAATTTGCAGATATCGATGAAAGCTTTACCTGTGCCCTGAAGGAGGGCCAGCCTGTAATGTGTCTTTTGGCACTGGACCTGCTCAGGGCACTGGGCTAGGTACTTTTGCTTAAATTGTGAGGCTACCACATGCTACTTTACAGGACCAGGGCCACACTCGTCTGGTGGGACCCTGTCCTTGAGAATCCCTAGGTCGTATGTCCACCGATAGGGCAAAGACTTTGGGATGCTCCTTGGATCCTGCCCCCCATCTGTGGCTGCGGGGGCTGTTTCTCTTCAAAACTGTTTATTATCCCTAAGGCAGAAGGGAGCATCCACCCCATACTAGATCAGAAGATTCTCAACACCTTCAACCAGGTAAAAATATTGTGCATGGAATCCGCCCAGTGAGTCATTGCTTCCCTCCATCCAGGAGGCCTTCTGGCTTCTGTGAACATCAAAAACACCTGGCCTGGTGGGTCACATTCAGCCCTGGAATCTGGAAAAGATTTCCTCTTATCTGGAAAGTTCTCAGTAACATATGCCACCTTATTGGGCTGGGGAGGTGTCCTGGGTACCCTAACGGTACAAGAGACAATCGACCAGAACAACCCCACAGCATTAGCTTCTTTTACTCATCAGGGAAGTACCAGAAGTCTTGCGGCTCAAAAAAAAGTGGATCTGATTCCGGCTTTAGCAGAACTTCATGTTCCAGCCCTTTCTGCCATGCACAGCCCAGGCATGAGAAATTGGCATGCCCACTTCCTCAGTTGTCAAATTCTGGATTCCAGAGAATGGTCTCTTCACCCAGAGATGTTTCCAAACCCTGTTTCTCACATCTCGGCTATTGTCTTTAATAGCGTGACTGTGGAAGCTCGAGTTCTGAGGGACAGGGGCTTTTCAGATTTGGTCATCCCTGCACTTGTAAACTCTAGGAAGATGAATTATCGCATAGTCTGCCATAAAACTTGAAAAGCAAATATTTATTTCTTTGAGACTAAGATATTCCATCCCAGGAAGATCTCTATGGAAGGAATCATGTCTTTCTCCAGTCATGTCTGGAGCAATGTTTGGTCTTGAGTACCACCAAAGGTCAGATTTTAGCTTTAGCATATAGACTGCTTGCCTTCCACTCCTTAGTGAAGGACCCATGTAGGGTGTCACTCACATTGTGCTTCCTCTGCTTTTTGCAGTGACTCCATGTGATCTCAGCCTGGTTCATTCAGTACTGCAGAAACTGTCCTGTGAGCCTAAGGGATATTCCTCTGTCTTCCCTTACTGGTGAGGTTGTTTTTCTCATTGCCATCACCAGGTGAATTTATGAGTTGGCAGCCTTAACATGTTAGAAAAAAACCTTTTCTTGTGTTCGCAAGGACAAGTTTGTTTTTAGGTCCTAGTCATTTCTTCCTTTCACTTTAACTGTAACATTGCTCTACCATCTCTCTGTCCTGCTCCAAAACATCCTAAGGAGAGTTCCCTCCATTGTTTGGATGTGGTACACACTGTTTGAGTTTCTGTCAGCTCCCTTTAGACTTTCTAACTCATAATCTCAAGGACAATGCACTCAAACCACCAGGTCTGTGAAACAGGAATCTGTTTTTTCAGATTTGCAAGGCTGCCATCTGGTCTTCTATTCCCACATTTGTTTTCTCTGGTGGACGTTCAGGCCTTAGCTGATACCCGATTTGGTCATGAGGGTCTTCAGGCAGCTCTGTATGATCCCTTCAGCCACCTCCTGTTAACCTGTTTGTTTTTGTGAACCTGTTATCCCTTTGTTGCTCTGTTTCCCATCCCTCAGTCACTGCTTTTGGATGCCCCAATGTACCTGAATAATTCCACCTTTGTCTTATAGTGTACAATTGATGGAATTTACGTCAAGTCAAAAATCCTTTTTTGTGAAGTACGTTGAGAGACAAGGCCCCCTCCACCCCCTTGTTTCTATCATTCGCTCTTTTTTGTATGCTGCAAAAATGAGGTGCACTGGGAGTGGGAGGGCTTCTACTGGGCTGTCATTTGCTGCTTTGTTTGGCAATGTCTATTCTTCTGAAGACAGCAACATAAGCCTGAATAATAAGGACTGTACCTTCTATAATCTACAAATTAGAAAATGCATTTTAAAAAAATACAAGAAAATGTTATAACATGTTCATCAATCTTTCAAATTAATTTTTCCATCTTAGATAACTGGGCAATCTCAACAGATAAAAACAGACAAAGAAGGCCGTGTGAATATGGGACTACTTGCGTTTTCTGCACCAAAGTAAGCTATATGGTTTAAAACAAAATGACACTGTTGTCTATAAATGGTTCCTTTATTAGAAGCACATTTTATTCCAGCTTAGTCATGCAATTATATAATCAGCCAATCATGTGGCAGCAATGCAGTGCATAAATTCATGAGGATACAGGTCATGAGCTCCAGTTAATGTTCACATCGAACATTAAAATGGGGGAAAATGTGATTGGTAATTTTTATTGTGACATGATTGTTTGTGTCTGAAAGGCTGGTTTGAGTATTTCTTTAACAGCCTTTAGAGTTTACTCAGAATGGGCAAAATGCAAAAAACACCCTTTAAGCTGAGAGGCTTAGGTGTCTGTCAACAACTCTTTACAACTATAGTGAGCAGGAGTGCATCTTGGAATACACAGGACACTAAACCTTGAGGTGGGCAGGCTCCTACAGCAGAAGACAACAACGGGTTACACTTGGCAGTTGAAGACTGTAAAATATAGACTATTGTAGACAATTAAAAGAACAATAAACCTTTCTTTCTATTTATTTAGAAGTTTTTTTCTACTATTAACAGCTGCTGAAATATTCAAGTCAGATAATAAATAATGAAAGTCTCTCCCGTGAGCGTAGATTTTACCAGTTCCCAGTGTTATCTCTGATACAGCCATGCATCCATGCTGGGTAACCCAGCCTGTATTTGTTTTCCATGGCTGTGCTACAAATCAGGACAGTATTCTGGAGATTCTGTAGAGTGTTTTATAGCACTCTACACTCTATCCACTTTGTTTGCTTTGTCTCTGTTGTGCAAAGATGGACAGGGCATCACCCTGATCTGACACCGCTCTTCTCTCAAGAAGTCATTATCACTGAACCTTGAGGTTGGCAGGTTTTTACAGCAGAAGACCACAATAGGTTCCACTTGGCAGTTATAGACTGTAAAATGTAGACTATTGTAGACAATTAAAAGAACAATAAACCTTTAAGTCTTGTACCTTCTGGTTGTACTGCCACTTAAAGGAAAATTGGACACTGGCAGACAAAAAAAAAACTGTAGGTCAGCTACAGATAAATCTTCCCACTACCAGCATGCCTCCGTTTTTCCTAGTGTCTTCAGGAGAGTGGACATGGTTTTTTAAGCTGATATCTTCTATTCGTTTAGAAGTTGTTGTTTGTTTGTTTTTTTTAACTTTCAACAGGTGCTGGTGGATTCAAGTCAGATAGTAAATTCTTGAAGTCTCTCCAATGAACGCATATTTTCCCCGTTCATTAAGTATCCTTGTGTTCTCTCTGCTATAGCCGTGCATCCATGCTGGGTAACCCAGCCTGTATTTGTTGCCCAGGGCTCTGCTACAAGTCAGGATAGAAGTCTGGAGGTTGTGTAGAGTGTTTTACTCTGGGTCAGAGTGTCATGTCAGTGTTCCGCCCGTCCCTGTCTTTGTTTGTTCAATTGTGGGGGGAGATACGGCAACCAATTCTTGCTGTGTCAAGTAGGGAACCCTTCTAAAATGTCCATGGTCCTTGCCTTCGACCTCTCTTCCGCATGGTGGATGTCCACCAATGTGCTGCCCCTGGTGTTAGCCTTGTTGTACTCTTGTAGCATCTCCATTGTGTGATACTTGGACGCCCTTCTGTTGAGGGAATAGTCTGTGCAGTCAAATAATGTGGCCTTGAATGTACACAGACTACAGCAGTTCACTTCCATCCTCAAATTTCAGAAGTCTCTTTTAACCTACTAATTTTTTGGAGTATACGGGTCTAGTGTTGGACACAGCTGAGGCCAGAATTCTTCTTTCACAGGAGAAAACTTTAGGCTCAGATTCAAGCTCACCAGTCCAGGAGTTGTCAGACTACACTTTTTCTTGAAACTCTTGGGCCCAGTGGTAGCCTCCTTTTGAGGCAGTCCCATTTGCCCAGTTTCTCTCCAGACCTCTAAAACACAACATTCTGTTGTCGTGGGACATGCCTATCAAATCTCTGGACAGGCAGATTAATTTGGCACCAATAACCAGGCTGTCCCTTGCCTGATGGCTCAGATATCAGGCTCTGAGATTAGGGAAGTCCTTTTTTCAGCTTCTGGAAGATCTTTGCAATGGATGCAATCCATTTAGGCTAGGAAGGGGTCTTGGACACTGTCGTGGTGCATGTGGACATGGCCATTGGAGGAGTCTTATCTACTGATTAATATCCTGGAGCTTCAGGCAATTTCTCTACATCGTTGATCCATCCTGTTGGAATGTCATCTGAATACTTCCCAGCTGTAGACAGTTACATACAGACTTCCTTATCTGCCAGCGCCTGGACACGGTGAAGTGGTCTCTACACCAAGAAGCGTTTCTAACCATTTAGACAGGATTTTCTCCAGGTACAGATAACTTTTAGCAGAAGCAGTGGATGCTCTGATAACACTGTGGAATCACTATGTCCTGATCTATGTATATCCTGCTTTGAATCTTCATCGAGATGACAGGCATTCCGGTTCTCTTTATTGTTCTGGACTGGCCATAGTGGATGTGGTACAACAATAATAGCTATGGCTTTCCAGCATAGCTATTGAAGCCAATGGTTTTAAGAGACAGGGACATCTCCGAACATGTAATTACGATAATTCTAAAAGTTAGGAAGGCTAGTTCCCACAAAGTGTGTAATTGGACTTGGAAGGCTTACGTTACTTGGTGTGACTGTTGAGGTTCCCACTTTATGGGTTTCTCCATATGACAAATTCTCTCCTTCGTGCAGCTGGACCAGGACTAGAGTTTGGCTCACCGCACCATCAAGGACCAATTTTTTGTCCTTTCTATCTTGTTTTAGGAACCATTGGCCTCTTACTGGTTGATTACGATATTTGTACAGAATGCCTCCCATGTAGCTTCCCCTGTTTGTTCCCCTGTGAATCCATGGGATCTAAATCTCTTTGTGAATGTCTTGAATGGCAGCTTTCTGGTTTTGCATTGGAACACGAAGGTGTTGAGGCACAGGACTCTCTTCTTGCCTAAGGTAGTTTCTGCTTTTCATGTGAACCAGGACAAAGTTATTCCATCCCTCCATAATCTGTTAAGTCTTATCATTAACTAGCTGAAGCTACAGCAACATATAATTCAGATGAAGAAAACTATTTTGGTACAGTCTTGCACCAGTCTAACAGTTTTGAGTGAAAAGCATGGCACAACTATAGACCAACAGGAAATTAAATTGACACTAAACTCAGGAGTTAAACCTTAAAAATGCATTTAAGTAAACTATCGACAAAAATGCAGCTTATTTGTGTATCACTCAGCTGTAGAGCCTCTGAATTCATGCTGACACTAACCTATCTGTAGGATGGCTACTTGGGTTCCCCATGGTCCCTATGTGTGTTTTTAAAGTAGCCACTGATCCAAGCTCGCGACCCTTGATAGAATACAATCTCACATTTAGTTTATTAATTTGTATTGGGATTGTAGTCTATCACGAGAGTGAGCTTGGAGCGGTGACTACTTTACAACACACACAAAGACCATGCGGAACAAAAAGTAGCCACCCTCCAGAAGGAAGGACAGTGTCGGCATGAATTCAGAGATGATTTGAGGATCTACAGCTGAGTGATACACAAATAAGGATAAAGATTTAACACCTGAGTTTAGTGTCACTTTAATCATATAAGTTGGCAAATTTCGTGCCAAAACCCTGTTTATTTCAACTGATTGTAAAGAGGTAAGTTTCTGTGGCAAATTTACCCAACATGCCCTGCAAAGTAGGTATGCCTTTGTTCCAAAGCCCTTAAAGAAAAACTCCACTTTTATTGAGAAAAATTAATCCTCTCTGGATGATCTGTGTACATTACAAGGATTGTAATTGCAGTTTCCTACCTGTTACTGTTCAGGAGAAAAATGTTTGTTGCAGCAAGTCCTTTCCAAACTGATCCCTGAATGGGACGGTATTGCATTTCATTTTTTTGACAGATTTACAATATTACAGCAGCTACAGTTTTAAATAGAAAGGTAATTTTTAAGAACATAAAATTACAGAATGGTGTGTGCGGCAATTATATATTCTATATTTATATTTTTTAAAGTGGAGTTACTCTTTAACCACTTGCTGACCGGGGTGTTTACACCCCTTTCCTGACCAGGCCATTTTTCAGTATTCAGCGCTGCGGTACTTTGGCTGACGCTTATTCCGCCATGCAACGCTGTACTGAAATTAATTTTATACCATTTTTTGGGGACACATAGAGCTTTCTTTTGGTGGTATTTAATCACCACTGGGGTTTTTATTTTTTACTATATAACATAAAAAGTACTGAATATTTTTTTTTTAAATGGTTTTCCCTTCATTATTTTAGGAAACATTTATTTTTACCCAATTTTTTGCTAAAATATAAAAGTCGGGGCTACGTCGGGTAAATAGACACCAAACATGTCAAGCCTTAAAATTGCGCACGCCCGCGAAATTGCAAAAAGTGGTCAGAGGCGACGCTTTAAAAGATTTTACCGCTCATCAGTTTAGTGTTATCAGTGATTGATGGCCCTAAAATTATTGCGCTCATTGCGACGTTCGCGGCGATATATAACGTAGGGCATAATTGGCGCAATCGCCGTTTTTGCGTGTAGGCACATCTAACGCATGTTTGCGCATCTATGTGGGGGACTTAAAAAAAATTGTGGCTTTTTGTTTTGTGTGTGTACATTTTTATTTATTTTGTTATTAATTTTTTTTTTTTTTTCACTTTTGTTTCTTAACTTTATTGTTATCACTTAGGGTGCTAAGATGTACCCTATGTGATAAAAAATTACAGTGACAGGTCCCCTTTATGGACAGCTTGTATGTAAACGACCACTGGCCGTTTAAAATCAAGGCGGTTTCTCGCTCGTGGGCGCACGGGCACGAAGGACATCTAAAGACGCCCACCCGCATCCAGGAGACTCCCATCCAGCCGTCTTTCAACGATCGGCGGACGGGAGGTGGTTAAGTATGAAAACTTAACATGTATGTCCATCCAGGATTAGAACTCCATTTGGGTTTTTTTTTTTTAAGCATGTACTTTTTTATTGAGTTTTCAGTTGTAATACATAGTAAAGATAGACATCATAATAACCCGACACATGCACAGAACATTAGAGGACAAGCGTTATACAAGGTTATAGATGTATGCGGATCAACAGTGCTTCAAATAACTATAATACCATCAAAAAGTCACCTATAACGACCACTTAACAAACCATTAACGGTAAACAGAGCGGTATTCCACAAAGAGATAGGGTAGGAAAAACACATAGACATACATATAATGCATCATCGTAATATTCGAGAGGATCTATTGTCGGAGTGGACCAAACAAGGGTGAATCAATACTGAAAATGGGACAATGGGATAAACTGGACGTCAAGGGACAAGGAACGTCGGGTGCGATGGAGTAATACAATAAAGAGAAAAGAGAGGTTTTCCACCGTCTCGATTCAGCAATTGTCGGTGCATCACCTAGCCGAAGGCTACCGATAGCCTTAGGTCTATAAGACATCTAAGGCTCCCAATGAGCTGTCTAATTTGGCTATATCGTACCATTTGGAGGATCGAAAGGGCAGCATAATGTCCTTAAGTTGATCTAGGGATAGCGTTGTAGTTAGGAAAGCTGACCATGTACTAAAAAACTGGCTACCATTTGGGTTTTCATTGCTATGCAGGGTTCAGATAGAGACATTTTCTCCCTTCTTGTCTGGTGTAACTTTTCTAACCTGGACAGTAATAGAGTCCCATTAACAGTAAATATCAGACAAAGGTTGTAATCCTTCCGCCTCTATTGAAAACTAAAGAAAAAAAATTAAATAAAACATTTTGCTGGACATAAACCTTGTCATTTATACTACTCTTCAGTTTATTTTTGGTTTTGTAGAGGTTCACACTTGTACCCATATATTTATCTGTCAGTTAAAATAGTTGTTTTACCGTCACTTCAGATTTCCTGTATGAATGTCTGAGGTATTTTTTTTTTTTTTTTTACTTTATGGGG